TATATATATATATATATATATATATATATATATATATATATATATATATATATATATATATATATATATATATATATATATGCCTCCATCTCCCGAAGCATCTCTCTTTCTCAGGCGGCTGCTGCGCACATTCGTGAGACATGCCAAAGTTACAAAGATACCGAGGAGTAAGGCAAAGGCACTGGGGCTCATGGGTCTCCGAGATCCGCCATCCTACTCTGTAATGTCTCTCAGTACCTTCGCTTAACCTTAGCTCAGAGAGAGAGAGAGGTTAAGGTATATGTCGCTTGACCAGGTTGCTTCGATTTCAGGAAGACAAGGATATGGCTGGGCACGTTTGAAACGGCGGAGGACGCAGCTAGGGCCTACGACGAGGCGGCGCGGCTCATGTGCGGACCGACAGCCCGGACCAACTTCCCCTTCGACCCCAACTTCTCGTCCGTCTTATCACCGAACCTCATGGCGAAGCTGGAGCGGTGCTGCTCCGCATCCGGGGACGAGAGCAGGAGAGGCAAGGCGACGCCGATCGGAAGCCAAGAAGACGTCGCCCAGTGTACGGATGAGGAGTACATCGAAGAGATGATCCAGGAGCTGACTTACAGTGGCTCTCTAGAGATATCTACCTCTTCTTCGTCTTCATCTTCCTCTTCCTGTTATGTGAAATCTTGTGGGTATTAGTGCAAATCAACACACTCTTCAATCATATATGTATAGTGTGCCATGCTCCTCATCGAGTAGTCTACTGTATTCTTCTCACTGATACTTGGTGTTGTGCAGCAACTCTTGAGATGATGCTTCTCCTACCAAAGAGACTACTTTAGTATTTTGATTAGGGTTTCAGTCTGAGTAAGGCTGAGTGTTGGGGGATTAGCAGCTATATGGCCAGATAGATTAGAGTAGTCTCTGCTTAGGTTCTTTAGTTAGTAGTTCTTTTATTCATTGCATTAGTACCTCTTGTTATATTATTGGTCTTTGGATTTCTGATCTATCCTCTTTGGTTAAGATTGGCATTGTTAGTAGAGGGTGTTCTTGACCACACAAGCACAAATGTTTTGCATGACAATTCTTAATCATGGAATGTTTGGCTCATTCACAATCAAAATTTACAGAAAGACAGAAAGTATGGAAATAGAGAGTTAATTAGACTCGATATATACTATAGTATTTCAAGTTTAACATAAATTCTTTATGATTATGATAGATATATAGTTTATGATCCAGTGCTTAAGATTTAACTCATAGAAATAGTTTAAACACTTGTGATATGTATTTATATAATTATTAGAGGTGTTTTGCTAGATAATATGAGATACGGATATCTTCTACCCATCTTTTACAAGAACCAAGATAGAAGACATGTATCTTTTATTCTCGAGTTAAATACTTAACGAGCATTTTCTTCTTGATGCGATAGTATTGGAAATATGAGTTAGAATGGGTCAATTTTATCAAATGAAATTGATGATCAAATTTAACCTTAATAAAAAATTAAATCAAAAAATAATTTATTTTTTAAAATAAAACTATGAATATCATCGACTTAATTGGAATTGTCTAAGACATGAGTTGTCCTTACGATATCCATCTATAAAGGTTTAACCTAGAAGCAATCTATGTCCCAAAAACTTATAAAAATAAAAAATTAATTAGTTCAGAAAATAAATAATGGATAAATCCTTACGTCTCACAAAAAAAAGTAGCTTTCAAATAATTTAACAAATACTTAGTGTGCATAGAGTGAAAAAAGAAAAAATAACAATTGCAAAGTCCACAAATGATCCTTAACCAAGTGCGGAGGTACAAGAAAAGTCTACCCACATTTTATGTGTAAAATTATTTATCCAAATATACCCAATAGATTATCCATCCCAACCTCTCGAAATAAAATCTTAATCCAATATTTTGGAACCCTTGTAATTTTCATGAATATTAAACTAGTATTTTTGAATCGAGCTACGTAATCTCACTATGCAACGAGCCATCGATCCAAATAACTCAATTTTAATTCTAATTTCAGATATTTGGTTCTGTGTCGCGTAGAAAAAGAAAAGATTAATTATGTGTGTCATTAAATTTGTTTCAGGGTTGTCTAAACCTAATCCGATAACTTGCGGATCCAAACGGATCTAATTGCAGGCCCGTCAAACTTGTGGGTCGGGCTTTAAGGGCGCGGGCCGATCCATCACTACACCCAATAGTGCTCTTTATAACATCGCTTCCGTGAGAGAGAGAGAGAGAGACTCCTTCTCCTAGGCGGCGGCGGCGCAGGCCAAGATCCAGCAGGAGAAGCCGTGGTCGCAGGATCCCAACTACTTCCGCCGGGCGAAGATGTCGGCGCCTCTGGTGCTGCTGAAGATGATGGTGCACGCTCGCTTCGGCGACACCATCATCGTCATGAACGTCTTTCCGCTGACCTTCGAGGGGACCAAGACGCGCGTCAATACGTAGTCTCAGACCTACAAGCACCAGGAAGAGCATTTCCTCTGGGATGCACAACAAGTAGATGTATGTCCTAAAACTCTTCGAACCGAGCCTGTCTACTTATTTTAACGCACCTCCTCAAATTCTTCCGTTGTCTTCGGCTAGGAGGTTGAAGAATGTAGTGGGATGTTGTCACCAATTGATGTTGCATCTGTTGGTTAAGCGTGCGAGAGGCTTTGTCAGCTATCAAGGAATGAAGATCCCTGGAGAATATGGTTTGTCAAAATGCATGGGGCAGTGAGACCACTCATGCGTTAGAGACTGTATCAGAAGACTTGGATGAGGAAGACTTGCAAGGGAATTGACCACTCCTGAAGCTGTTTCATGGAGGAAATTGAGAGTTGGAGGTGCTGTGGAGCCATCTAGTTGCGATTTCAGTCAGTGCTCGTGCTGTTCTTTTTGGTGGCGAGGGTCTTAACATGCAACCAATGACTGATACCTTTGCGTTGGAGACATGTCAGTGTGCCCTCTGCTCCTCCTGGTACGTGGTTCCATTCACTATTCTGCTCAAAATGGATCCTGGCTGGTTGTATTTGGTGGCTGTGGAGAAGAAGGCATACTCAAATGAGGATTTGGATGCCCAACATCCATCCTGGCTGCCTCCTATGCATGCATAGCTATTGGCACGGCTGGTGTCCTTCTACGTGACACATGCATATTGGCATGGCAAGAGATACCAGCTTCATGGACGCCCTCCGTCGAGGTTAGGGCAGTCATCGTCATCAAATTTGCCTTGGATCTGACATCTTTGTTTCTTTGCAGAACAAGATCTTTCTGTATTGTGCCCATGTTCTTTGGCTAAAACCATGGGAATGTTGTTCCTCCTCAGTGCCTAGGCGCTTGATGTTTACTAAGTTGGAGTCAGGCTGCAGCTTTGGAATTCTACACAATGAACTAATAAACTATGCATTGTGGGACAAGGAGGTGTAGCTTTGCCCGTGAATCAAATAATAAATGCTATTAGAGTAGCATGGACCAGATAGAAGTAGCTGCCTTTAAGTTTTGTTCTCAGACCACTCGATGATAGCATGTTGTCTGGTGAATTTTTTACATGGAGAAGTGGACAACAGCTGTGTGTGTGTGAGGTACTTCGGCAACCCACTTGTCTTCAGCCAATCGTCTATTAAGATGGGGTGGGGCCGATGTATGAAACGCGCTTCGTCAGAGACCGACAGAGTTGGGTTGGTGTCTTCTCCGCCTGTATCAGTTCAAACCACTTCCTCTGCCGTAGACCGGCAAGCATTCAACACGAACGGGTACCGCCCAACCATCGTCTGTAAGATGGGTGGGGCCAAGAGTGGGGAACACACACGGCTCACCTCTCAGGAGGCGGTGGGGGCCACTGGGCCGATGGCAGACCCCCAAGTGTAAACCAAAGTCACCCGAGCATTCCCACGCTGCCCGCGTGACTTCGCCACCTAACGTCAGTGCCGTTTCCGCTATTCTCCCCAACTACAAGCCCAATTGTATAAAGAGGATACGAAAGGTTAATGCATGGAGGGGGGAAAAAGGGATCCTTTTCACTTCCATTGCGATCAAAACCAGTAGGCCGAAGAGGAACGCATCGGTGACAAGTTCCCACGAGGCGCCCCTCCTCGCACCACTTTCCCGTTCTACTGAGCCCTAGCACCGATCCATCTCTTCCCATATGGCCGAAGCGCCGACGCCTCCACCGCCGCCGGTGATCGGGAAGGCTGGGAGCTTCACTGTCTTCATCACCCCGCCGTCGACCCCGACGCCGTCTGAGGGCCCGAGATCCCGCATTGCGAGCCCTGCGCCGGCATTGAGCTCCAGCAGCCCCGGAAAGGAGGCTCCTTTCCCGGTGAAGGCTCCCCTTTCGCCGCCCCGTCTCGTTGCCGCCCCGCCGCCGGTTCAGGTTCCGCCGCAGCAGTTCGAAAAGCCGGCCGTCAAGTCTGCTGGATCCGTGTTCGGGTTCCTTTGGGACGCCGTCGTCAAAGTCCAAGATGGTATCTTTTTGTGAATTTTGTTTGGGCGCGGGGCTTGTAGTGGTTTTTTCCTTTCCTTATTCTGTTTGGTTTTTGTTGGCAGCGCATTTAAGTTTGGATGAATACTTGGCGGATTGGTTCGGGTTGAACCAGTCGAAGTACCAGTGGGCTTTGAATGATTACTATGAGAGCAGTGGAAAGGTTAATTGGTTTTCTTCAGTGTTTCTGAGCTCTCTTTTACTTGATTTGGCCGTGAAATGTGCTGTTCAACTGCTTTATAATTCATTTTTCTGTTGGATGGTTCCGATTTACCAACTGGAATTGCTTCCTAGAGCAATGTGCTTGATCTGTAAATGGCCTCCAAAATTGGTTTGGCATTTCATACGGAGACTTCTTTTTTACTTACTCTGACTGTTTGCATAACTCCTCAAATCTGTTCTCAACAAGCATTTCTACCTTAATGCTGTCTGCCTACATTATTTACTTTGATCTGCAAAGAATCATCCGAATGAATTAGGGACATCTTGATACTTAAGAAAGGAGGTGAAATACATTTTGGGAGGGTGGTTAGAAGGGGCCTAAGAATTGGTGCAGGTTTTTTAGTAATGAACCTAGAGAATCATTCTTGATATGACCGTGATCTAGATATTCTCTTGTGCTACTCTGAGATTTAGTTATGTTTACATCAGTTCCCCTGCTCCTTGTATATGAGGATTTGAAGAAGAAACTAGGCATCTATGACAATATATTCAGTATTGCTGATCAGTGTACATGAGGTTGAAATCATAATTCTAACTTTGAAGTTTTTTTCGTACGAATCATGGCAGGGACTGATGCATGATATCATAAACAAATATCTTGTGTTGACACCTGAACTCTGTGTCTGTTCTCAGTCATGTATTGTATGTTCTTTGTATGTCAAATTGTTCTCTTTTGTGCTCTATCGGAACTTCATAGAAGATGAGACAGACATGGTGGCATTCATTATATTGACAACTAGGGACAATGTGTTTAAGGTTCATAACTAATTAAGATTTGCATGTCAAAGTTGGAAGTGCAATTTGATATGCAAATATGGTTGGTCTTATCGCCAATTAGGCTGGGAAAGTTTATTTTGTTGTGAAATGTATATGTACACAACCGTACAAGTACGTAGGCCACTAACTTGTATGGAGAGGTCAATACAGGATAAAGAGATCTCTAGTGGAATGTCTTAGTGAAGAATAAGGATTAAGAACATCTATTTGATACAGCTTTTGTCTATCTTAGTGTGAAAATAAGAGCATTTTGAAATTGGCATGTTATTCTCCTATACCTTGCAAATATAGGGCACTTATAGCATTATGTAGCATGTTCATTCTGTTAGTCCATTGAATCTAGACAGTAGTGATCCTTTTTCTTTAGTTAATGTCTTGGTTCCCCATGTGGTTTTGATCAGGTCTTTGAGTTCAGGAATGTATCTGCATTTGCTCTAATTCATATGGTTTGCAAAGATGCTTTATCATCCTTTGCAGCTTTTGTCTGGTGCAACTTTGGGAGTTTTGAGATTGTCTCTTGGCAATAGTGCGCTAATTGCATCTGACACTTAACCACCTTTTCCTTTGCATGTTTCTTCCCAAATTTATTTTTCATAATCTTCCAGGAGGATCTTTCAATCTCAATGTCAGACCATCGACGGATTTTCTTGATTTTGATGTGCTAGTAACACATCCTATCTTGTTGTTTGATGAGTGAATTTATTATTTATCGGAGTGCCTAATTCCTCCCGTATGATCTATATTTCTTGGTGGGTCGAGGATCTAATGTAAGTTTCCTTTTTTGTATTGCAGGAAAAGGAAATTGGCAAAGTTAGTAAAACAAAAGAGCTCGCTGATAAAGGGCAAGCCATTTGATAAGTTACTAGGGAGGTAAAACTTATCACAATATCTTCCATGAAATTGCTTGTTTCTGAATCTGCTCTTGCATTTCTGCCATGTGGTAAGCTTCTTTAATATTGATTTTTCAGATCCAAAACCTAAAAAACCTCCGGTGAAGTTCATATTTATAATTGCATATCGATGGTTCAAAGCGTTCTCCATGAATTACCAACAAATGATCCTACGACGGCTACCATGCCATCATGCTGATCACATTTGGGGCATTAAGGAGGCTGGAATCTGTGATTAATGTTTCACCATGTTAGCATTTTAATATGGCCAATTGCTAGACATCATCCATCCAAAACCAATCAAAGTGATTTCTATGTTCCTTTTGTATGACATTTAGAGCTCTATTCTATTAGTTTATAAAATGTTTGCATTAAAACTTCAAGTCCCTCGTGCCAGTTTTCTCAAGCAGCAACACATGAGAGCTGTAAACATCATACGTCTATGTTGTTGGAGAAGGCATCCACATCTATTCTAGTTCTCTTCCTGTCTGCTGCTCGGTAGCTTCGGACCAGAAAAAAAGAATAAATTGGTGAAATTTTGATTGATTCTCAGGTGACTTCATTTTAGTTCGGGGATATGTAAAAAGATTTCTCTTTAAAATATAAATAAAGATTTAGATGCTTTTGATAATTAAGCATATTATTATGTATAAAACTTAATAGCAGAAAAAAATTTTGTATGGTCAAATGCTAAATAATTGGCATATTGTGCCTTCTTGTTTTTTTTGTTGTTATTGTATTGTCATCCTTTATTGTAAATCTGGAACAGTAACAAAGTTACTAGGAGATCAATAACACTTACTACTGCTACTTTTGCAACATGAAGGAACAAAGATGTGACTAGAATTCAACCATGTGGGAGGCTTGTGTGTATGAAGGCAAATAGAGAGGTCATCAAGAACAGATCAAAGATCAGTCCTCTGGCAAACTTGAATGAACTGAAGTAATATGGGTGCTCTCATATCTGCAAACATCTGAAATATATAGCAGAAGATAACCAGTGGCCTCTCTCAATCTATTATCTTCATATCATTTTACTTTTGATCTTTGCTCTTCAGATCTAGAATTCTGATACCTATTTTTCAATATTATCACACAAACTATCTAGCTGTTTGGATTCATAGTTTTTGCCCACTTGATAAGACACAGAGCAGGTGCAGGTTGTAGTTTTCTGATCCTTGTCTTCTTTCGACACAGAGATGGGCGTGTATCCGAAATGATAAGGCTTTCATCACCTTCCTCGGCATCCATTTCGATGTCATGCTTCCTTTCCCGGGTTGTCTGAGTTCAGTCCTTGGCCAACCAAGGAGATTTCCTTGGTCCCTTCCAATTATTCCACAGCATCTGTTAGTTTCAGGTATGTTCATGATGATAATTCAGTCCTAGGTAACATCGCTTGTTTCTAATCTTAATCTCAGCTGATCCTGTGGTTCTCCAAATAAGGCAAAGCTCCACAACCATAGCTAATGAATCTAAGATAGCCAGGCAATTGAACTCTCATATATATGAGTTTTTGGGAGTAAGACTTGCATCGGTCGAAGTCTCATGCATTAATATCTCCTGTCGCTTGTCGGCTTGTTACATCACGATCTAATTTACTCCCTAAATTACCAGCAGTCAATCTATTGACTTGTGCCAAATGCCTTGACCCGCTACACCTGATAGATCGACAACATAACCATCACAGCATAAGTGAGTAGTTATGATCATTACTTTCTCTCACTACAATGGTGTTAGGTCAATGGCATTGATTGCTTAAGCAAATCTATGATTGCGATCTCCCTGTTGACGAAGATGATGAGGCAGTATCACATTCGTCGTCGTCGTCGTCGTCCAGATCATCAAAGCCCCAGAACTCTTGTTCTTCCTCCTCTCCCTCTGGCATCTTCCACTGATCTTGCAATATCTTCCTGCCTTCTAGTATGTCCAATGCCTGCCATTATTCATTTGATTATCATCATTAGGAGTTGTCTAATCTAAACCAAGCAAAAACACTACATGTGGGAATGACCCTAAGAGCTAATCAGAGACGGACTCAGACAGAATTGTTAGGAAGAAAGCAACCTGTCACCAATATATTCCTCCTAAGTCACCAGTAGTTTGGCCTTCAATTAGGCATCCAACTAAACAAATATAACTTGATAGAGAGAATCAATCTACCATGAAACCTGCATCTTCTCAAGTTTCCTGGTGTTGCTAAACCTTTTACTTCCTTCCGAGCTTCTTCTACTGTCCACTTCAGCACACTTTTAGTGGGTTTCAATGATCTTTCAGTGCCTTTTTGGCATGATTCTTTCATCCTAAAGTTGTTCTTCATGTGACCAGCAACAGTAATTTACCTCAGTCATGGAAGGGCGCTGTGTTGGGGTTGTTCTGATGCAGAGGGAGGCTGCAAATGTGAGCTTCCTCAGCTGATCAATGTCGTATTCATCTCCTAGTCTTGCATCCACCAAAGCTTGCACAGTGCCATCACGTAGATAAGGTTTTGCCTGTATGAAATAAAGTTAGCAGTAGCAGTTCTGTGATGTTCCCGATATCTATCGGATGCAGCTGACACTGACCCAGCTGAGCAAGCTGTTGTGAGATCCATCCACTGGTTTCCTTCCTGATATGATCTCCAAGAGGAAGACGCCAAATGCAAACACATCGGTCTTCTCGTGAACGATCCCGTGCATGAAGTATTCCGGCGCCAAGCACCTGGTGATACCACAAGCTTCGTTAGCTGCTGCGAGCATCAAAGACCTTGCGCTCCTGCATGAATGTTCTCGAGGAGTTCGTACCCGAACGTCCCTTCTATCGGTGCCCGTGCCACGGCGCGGTGTGTCCACTCCGTTGGAAGCCATCTTGCGAGCCCGAAGTCGGAGATCTGCGGTGGAGGAGATGGATTCGTCGTACAGATCGAGAGGAGAATTAGCAATGAGGTTAGCTGAGTGCTGCTACCTGAGGCTCGAAGTTGGCGGTGAGGAGGATGTTGGAGGCCTTGATGTCTCTGTGGATGATCCTTCTCTGGCATCCCTTGTGCAGGTAATGGAGCCCCCTCGCAGTGCCCACGGCGATGTCGTGCCGCAGCTTCCAAGCCATGGGGGGAGAGCTTTCATCTGCACATAGCGTACACATAAGCTCGACCACGTTCTGCGTGTGACGTTCTCCACGAACAGCTTCGCACCCGATGTCACGTTACCGTAGAGGTTGGAGCAGACGGAGCCGCGTGAAGAGAACTCAAAGATCAGATGGAGGTCGCGGTCGACGCAGCATCCGAGGAGGGCGGAGACGTTGGGGTGCCGGACGTGGCCGACCGCGCCCAGCTCCGTCAGGAAATCCTTGGTCCTCTGCTCGTCCGACGACGCCCTCGTCAGCCTCTTCACCGCGATCGCCTGCCCGTCCTCGAGCACTCCCCTGTACACCTCGGCGTACCCGCCTCTCCCGACCAGGTTCTCTGCAAACTCCAGCGCCACCAAAACAACAACAAGATGATGAGAATCCGCCGGAGTTTCCCATGTAACAGCGCTCTGAAACATGGAGTCAGCAGACCTTGGCGAAAGCCACCAGTTGCTCGATGTATCTCCTCGTAGGAGAAGCATCTCCAAGTTGGCTTGCAAGGTGGCTCCGCGTCGAACAGATGATGGATAGGTTGGCTCTCACGAACAGGGGAGGCATTCTCCTCTGCGTTCGCTTGTCCTCTGCTCCTCCGACCAATTCCAAGAGACAGCAAGCGTTTAAGACGCATGCTTACGACTCTGTCTTCTGCTCACTTGCACTCGAAATGCAGGTGATGATCAAAGAAGAGGAGGAAGAAGAAAGGGAGATGCAAATGCTTTAGGAACTCCTAAAGCAGTCCACCATCACTGCACACAACCAGAGGAGGATGCTTAGCTTTCCGAAGGAGACAAGGTGGCAATACATTATGATGAAACTGCATGAGGGAAGGTGGGAGTTTTCTAAGAGGAAATGGTGGCGTCATCCCTGCCACTGTTCTCAACAAAGCACGCTCAACACAAGGCTTTAATGGTGGAAGATGAAACCAGAGCTACTTTTTCATGCTCGACACCCAAATAACATGGTCATGGAAGGAGATGAGCAAAGCAACGGTCAGCCACTGAGCGTGCCGGTCATCAGAACCATCTCATCCGTGGAGCCTGAGAAACCATGGCACATGGTGGATGACCCAAGCAGCCATGGGTGAAGTGCCGAGGAGGGGATGATCATTGGGTGGAATTATTTAGAAGTGTTCCCGAGGGGCCAAGATTTGGTGGAGGAGTGAGTACTTGGGGTGGAGGACCAAATACAGGTGCAGATGGGGTCCCAAGCCACATTAATCCCTCAATGATTCATGTTGTGCATGAGAATGCCATGAATGATGCTTAGAGAAACTGTTGGCAGAGCAGTGAATTGGTTGTCAAGATAATCTCAACTGGAATGGCTCAAGAACGACAAAATTGTCAACCTACATGATGAGAGGTGGGCGTTGCGCAGACAGCTGTTTGTTGAAAGAGATAGAGAAGAGAGAGAGAGAGAGAGAGAGAGAGAGAGAGAGAGAGAGAGAGAAAGGACTCATTATGTATGATTTAGTGTTCTGATTAGATTATCATAATAATCTAATTATATTATTACAAAAGAGAGAGGGAAAAAAATATTTGATTCCATTTAGGTTATTACAATAGTTATCTTATTTAGTGTTCTAATTATGTCAATATGAACATTCTAATTATAGGAATAAGAGTTCGAATCTCAACCTATGTGAATAAGATCCGAATACACACCATCGCTTATGCGAATAAGAGTTCAAATCTCAACTTATGAGAATAAGATCTGAATACGCATTGTTAGTGTCAATATCTTTGCGCCGTGGTCTCGGGCCAACACGGTTGGGTTCATGTCCGAATGATTGGAGATCTTTCTGAATGACCCTTGAGGCTGCTGAGGTAGCTGACTATGGTGGTCCGATCTCGACGGGGTCACTGTTTTCTCCGTGATGGGACATCTCGCCTGGGCATTTGGTGGGAGGCACTCCGTCTTCGTACCTGCACACAGGTCGGGTCGGGAGAGCTCGGCTCGACCCTTCCGACAATCAAGTCAGTCGACAATCTCCGGGGTTTTTTTTTCCTCTCCCCTATTGTTCCGAATGCAAGGGTTTTTATAAGGAAGGTCAACGTTTCCTGATGTGCACACTTGCAGGGAGCAGGATCGTACCTTGGATAACGTCTGACATCGACATTGGCGTGGTGTGAAAGACCAGGCTCCTGCAGGATGGCGACGTGCCTCGATCGGCGTTTTGGTCTACTTAGACCAGAAGCTGTCAGGTCAGACTGAGACAGGCGACCCCCGTAGCTCCTCGGTCGGCGTGACCCAGGAGACATTACCCGGGAGCAGGTGACGTTAGTTCGTGTCTCGTCGTTATTATTATCCTTATCACACACCACCAAATTGAGTGGTCGGGTATAGTTCGACTTCTTCTTATTCATATAAATATCCATAACTGAGTGGTTGTGTATAGTTTGCACATCTTATTCATATAAGTATCAAATAATTTTGCATTTCTTTGCTAACCTATGGTAGCAACCAACACTGGTAGAGGTGATTAAATTAACGTCACCTCACGAGGAGAATAGCATGTGATTCTGTGATACATATATCAACACACACACACACACCATTCATCAGTAGATGTGTTGAATTATTTGGCGTTGGGACCTTTCTTCCATGAATCTAACAAGTATTAGATTACTGTCTTCCAAGGCTTTTGTATGCTTTTGTGATTGCCGATGTCTTTAGTCTTCATCTTAAAGTTCGAAACAGAGGAGAAAAAGTAGGCCATGGTGATTGCGAGTATGTGGAGGAGGAGAACAGGAAAGTGGTGGTGGTAATTTTATTGCTATCACCACCTTGCTCCCAAGTGCACGCGTATAAAAAGCCTCAACACAGAACAGTATAGGAGTGTGGGCAACATCTTGCTCCAGATTGTATAGGCTGAAATGAGCAGGGAATTAAGCCTTGCGCATGAATCAGCCCAGCTCCCAAAAGCATGTTTAATATACATGTTTACTATTCACTCAGTTAACCATGCAAAAACGTGCATCCACAAGATCAAAGAATCAACGTCAAACTCAAAAGAAACATCCAAGCAGTCCTTTTCTCCAGTTTATCCAATGTAGATTCTTTCAAAAGAGTGATTCTTTCGACATTGATGAACTTTGGGCATCAAGTTTCTGCAAAGATAAAGAGCAGTGCCACAGAATGCCATGAGAACAAAAGAGCATTAGGAGGAACAAAACAGTTCTGTTCATGTGTCAGGTACATATAAATTGTAATTGTGGACAAGCAATAATATGAGTTAACCTGAAATTGCTGACCCATGAATACATGCCCGATGAATAACTAATGCAATAATTTGCATCTAAAGAATTGTCACATTGATTATCGAGTCCAATAGCTTCCTCAGTGCCAAAGGTTCGTGCAGAAGCCTGTTGGCGCTGGAGGTGGCCTCTTGCTGCAGATCGCTTCCAAGAAGGTGTCCACCAACTGCCCTGCAAGGCTTGGGGGATCATCGATCAGCGTATCAACATAAACACTAACAATTCTTCTCTCCTGTGGGGTTGCTCGCAGGCTGAACCAAGTCAAGAACTTCACCCTGAAGTTGCTCTCGATGTGCCCCTCGCATTCCAGCCACCTAATGACCTTCACACAGTATTCATATAACCCTTCCATCGACCCATCCTTGATATTTATACCCTCAAATTTTCCTCCACCTCTTTTCTTGGATGAACTTCCTGGTTCCACGTCTGGATTCAACGAGCCTTTCTCAAATATATTAAAACCATTGTTCCCTTTAATGCACCTTCCAGAACCTTCTGTTCCAGTTTCCAACCTGCAGGGAGGAGTGGCAGGCAAGGTGGGATCTGATTGTCCAAATGGTACGATCACCATCTCATTGACGACAGGAGTGTTAGATTCATTATCCGACTTCGGGATGTCAGATGCCTGGTTATTCTCCATAGAGTTAGTGGACTCGATCGGAATGGTTGAGTTTGGCTCCTCATCTAATGCAGAATCAGAGTGCCCATGTGAATCCTCTGGCTCAAGAACTTCTGCTCCACTAATACTGCCCTTACATTCACTCTTTTGGTGGCTATTATCTTTCTGGGCATGATCGAATGATTTTTCTGTCTCGAGAATCTGAGGCTTCTCACAATCATCAAAATCAATTTCCGGCAACTTATTCAAGTCAGCACATGCAGAACTATTGGTATTGGATTCGTCTCCCTCCAAGGGATTAGACAAGCCACTACTGTTTGTTTTAGAGATTTGACAATGTGGGTTTGATACAGTTGTCTCCAGTGCCAAACCCACAGAGTCATCAAGAGAGATAGCTTTAGTTTTTACTCCAACTTCCCACGTGTAGAGGTTCCGCATTTTGCTGAAGCCTACCACCTTGAACATATATTCTGTGGCTGGAATTAGTTCTGTTAATAGCAACCTTTTCTTCGGTTTAAACACAGACAATGATGGTTTCCTGGGGTATTCTGGGTTGTCAGTCTTTCGGTGCCACAAAGTGAAACCAGCTAGCTCTTGAGCTAATGGTGTGTTATCCTCTATATCCAATGCCACAGTAAGAGATGTTGGTAATATCTCTTCAAATTTGATGAAGCTGGAGGATACCGTACCAATTTCTGTAGGCAATAAAAATTCACAAAAAAAAAAATCAGTCAAAACCAAACAGATACCAGAATGCTCAGTAAACTTGAAGCTTAGTGAAGCTTACGCTGAAGTTGACTATTAGCTGACAAAGAACTACCACGCATAGAATCTAGTAAGTCTACTGCATGGGCACACAGTCTTTGAACTTCAGCACCAACAGAGAGTCGGTTAACAATTCCACGTGCCATGTTTGATAAATCATCGATAGGCCCAACCTCTGCCTCCAGTTTCTTCCGTGCTGTGTCAACTATCTCATGCAAACTCTGATACTTTTCAGTTAGGCTGAGAAGTTTATGACTAAGAGAAATACGATAACATAATGCATCAACTCGTCGTGCATCTTTTGCGATCAAGAGTTGCTTTTTCCAGCATCTGAAGAACAAAAAAGTCGAGGTAAGAACAAAATGAACCGTCATTGAAAGTCAATTGTTCCAACATGTGATCACAAAGGAGTTTCTATTCTACTATGGGTATCAGCACTGAAGCAAAGATTGCTCTAGACAATTTAAAGCTGATTTACTTCATAAAAATGGTTCATGCCAATGTCTAATATATGATAACCATAATGAGATAAACCTTATATCTTAAAAGAACTTCACTAGGAAAGATCAAGTTAACCAAACAAGTATAACAGTAGCAAAATATCGACACATTTAACTAGATCAACAAGACAAGACATTTGAAAAGTACAAACACAGTTGAAATAGATGTTATAATCGTTGATGATTCATCACAAATACATGCCTGGATCTGTCCTTGCAACAACATTCTTTATCAAAGCAACATGCTAACATAAACTAAACATTCCTAGCCGAAGAAAGACAAACAGAAATTATGGAAATCTTTAGTTTATCAAGTACCATCTTAGATTTTAGAAATTAAAAAGAAGTCCCATTTATATCTGTATTTGATAGAGTTAACACTGTATAGCAATTGCTACTTGTGAAAAGAGAATATCTTAGCAGAAACTTACTCCCGCATGGTATTCCAGAATACTCATTCATAAGCACTTCTTGCTCGTATATTCAGTCCCAGTAGCCACAGTGGCAATCATGTGTTTCCCCACTTTATAAGAACACATACATCCATATGTTGCCTCTCTTCTTTACCAAATCATCTTTTCAATGACCAAATTACACCTCAATGCTTGTGTGTTGCTTAACAAATTATAATTTGAGACTAAATACTTCACTTAAACTCCTATCTCTAGGTAAAACCTATGGCACTTTTGGCTATTTAACAAAACTGCTGCAGTAGTATCTTGCTGGTAGTATGGAGCTGTGAAATTTGGTACAACTTGTACAACTTTTATCATGTGCAGTAATAATGCTAACTGATGTAGGAAATGTATAATCATATTTAGGTCTATTTCAAGTCATGCATTGCTCATGGAGATGGATCGTCAGCGTTTCACAAACATCAAAAGCATGTACAAGAAGACCAATTGATCTAGCATTTAAATTTCTCTAACCAACAGCTGCAGATCAAATATTAGATATAGATCTAAACCCTTAAAGTTTTCTTAGGTTTTGCTTACCTCTATCTGCCCACATGGGAGATAAAATGTGGAAAGCCAAAATTATCAATTTATTCAAGTAGAATCAGAAACAGGAACTGTTCATTCCAGTTTTAGTTACTAATCAACAGTCATCAATAATGGGGAAAAACAATGAAAGAATCCATCGTTCAGATAATCCTGAAGAATAAAGAAATTTTAAATGCATCAAACTCATCAGAAACTCATCTGCTCCTAAAACTGACAGACTAGCTAAGCTAACCATAACATATACTGA